ATAGAGTGAGCCAGTAGGGTCCTTTGGTGGCCTAGAAGCCAATCTAACTTTGGATGAAGGCAGCAAATGAAAGAATAAAGAGAATGAGAACAGTCCAAACCTACAGTGATTCATGCACACACTAATGTCATTCACTCTTGCAACCCTATCCATGCAATGAGACTTTTGGCCATTTTATTGTACATTGGAGCTACTTCCCCAAAAAGGCAGTATGAGGAGGACGAGAAAGGAAAGAATAGATTTCTGAAAATTGTCCCTTGTCAGTGCCTTTGAGGGAAGTAGCAGAGAGGAGAATGCTGCACACAGTCTTCTAGTTCAGATCGGTGACAGTCTCACTTATGCCAGCATTCTGGACGCCCACCGTCATCTCATTATCTACCCAGGCAACTTTGGGATTGGAGATTGGGATTCTACGTGACCTGTTGATGGGCAACGTCAACTAGTGAACCTGTTTTGGGTTTTGAAATATAAGTGACCGTATATATTAAGTGTGCTCTGATGGTTTTTCCCCTCAAAGATTGTTACTGCTTTTCGCCACAAGGGGGCTTAAGAACCTCATCTATTATTTCAATCGCTGAAGAGTTCATAAAGTTGTGAAAGCTCTTAACAGATAATGATTCTATATAAAAAGTGTGGATAAGAAAGATCTATAAACAATTAGAATTCTATATCGTCTTTTATCCTGCTCTAAGAATTTGTGGGTGGGGACTAGAGAGAGGGCCATGAGTTTAGTTCTATAGTGTGAGACTGCCATTCAAGGAATGAAGTGAGTGTCCTCTCTGGAAGGGAAGGGGATTGAACTTTTGTGAAGTCTTCCAACAGGTTTTAAGAATTGCCAAGACTTGTCTAAATCAGATATTCTCAAGAGAGAATTTTAGTCTCCAGAGAAAATGTGACAATAGCTGGTATCTTCTGTTTTATTTCCATCTCTATCTTGCGGGAGGGTATCTCCTAAACCCTGATAACTCAACACGCTTAAAATGCAGATGATGGATTCCAACTCACTTTCCACCACCACCACCATCAAACGAATGAAACAGACCCATCCTTCCCCTGTATTTCCTGTATATGTCTGCTGCCCCCAATGTCTTCTCCATCCCAAACCCAACACTTCTTGACCTGGCAAACTTCTATACGCCCTTCAAGAATCAGGTCTTCTGCACAGTATTACCAGTCATAGCTGTAACATCGTGCATGTTCCTCTTATTTTATTTCATTTGCTTATGTGCTTGTCTGTTTTGTTACTCTGTGTGCTCGCTTGTCATTTATCCAAATACTGTGCGAGCACTCCCAATGAGGCACTCTTTCAGGAGAAAGTGAATTCAAGTGTGGAAGTGGGAATCCAGACGTGGCTTGTCCCTCATCGGGCCCTGGCAGAAAGTCCAGCACCTGTAGCTTTTCAGGAGGTGCCTCAGTTATGCATGAGTAAGTGGATCACTGAGGACAGTCCCCGAGGATTCGTCTAACTGGGACTGTCAGGCTCTTATTTAGAAAAACTGTTTTTCTGGATCAAGTGGTAAAACTTGTTCAGCTGGCTAATGAGAAATTGTTCAGCTTTCTTTCTTTCTTCCTTTCTTTCTTGTGGTTTGTTTTTGCTTTTTAAAAGACTTTATTTATTTCTTTCACAGCGAGAAAGAGAGAGAGAGAGAGAGAGCGCACCAGCAGGGGTGGGGGTGGGGCTGAGAAGCAGAGATAGACTCTTTGCTGAGCAGGGACACCTAACTCAGGGCTCCATCCCGGGACTCTGGGACCATGACCTGAGCTGACGGCAGACCTTTAACCAACTGAACCACCCAGGCGCCCCTTTTGTTTTGCTTTTTAATGGTTAAGTACTGGCATAAGGTGTTTGCTGGGCACATAGCTTATTTCTCTTAGAGAGTTCCAGTCCTTTGAACCACTGAGATTATATTCTGAACTCATCCTCTCTGAGAGAAAAGTATCCTTAGGGTGGTTTCTTTCCTCTCCCACTTCCCAAATATTTTAACTGCACGTATTTCAAATATTTAGAAAAATAGCATAATGAATATATGTACTATTCACCTAGATTTAGCAGTTGTTAATATTTTCCATGTTTGTTCTCTCTCTCTTCAGATATGTATGTATATATTCCTTAAACCATTTGAAAGTAGAATGACATTTTGCCCCCACCAGTTTAGCATGAGTTTCCTAAGGAAAGGGACATTCTCCTACATAACCATAACATCATCATCACATCCAAGAAATATGACATGGATACAATAATATTATCTAATATAGAAGCTATGTTGAAATTTCTCCAGCTGTCCCCAAATTGTTCTTTTATAGGATTTAACCCATTGACCACTCAACTTTCATATATTTTTTGGTTTGTCATGTGTCTTTTATTTAGATAGGTTCTCGCACATGCTTTTTATTGTTGTTGGTGTTTTGTCGTTTATGTAGAATGTCCTACAATTTGGATGTGTTTTACTGTTTCACCATAGTTAGAATGAGACTAAATATTCTGGGAAGAATATTCTATGGGTGGTGTTGTGTACTTCCCATTGCACCACACCAGGTGGCACATAATTTGTTTGTCCTATTACTAGTGATGGTAAATTTGACCATGTGGTTAAGACTGTTCTGCCAGATCTCTTCACCATAAATGTACCTTTTGCCCTATAAACTATAAGCAGTCTGTAGGGCAGTTCTTTCAGACATGTGTTCTCCAGTAACTTTACCTAATGGTTTTTGCTTTCATTGAAGAACCTTGCTGGAATCAATAATTACATTTTTAATTTCAAAATTCTAATTTTATATATCTATTATTCCTTTTATATTAATTAGTTGGCATTCTTCTATAAGGAAGAGCTCCTCTTTCTCCCCTTCCCCCTCTTTGGGGAATATTTCTATGAGTTCACTATATCCTGTATCACTGGATATATCACTATATCCAGAATATAATCTCAGTGGTTCAAAGGGCTGGAACTCTCTAAGAGCAATAAGCTATGTGCCCGGCAAACACCTTGCCAGTCCTTAACCATTAAAAAGGATATAGAAGTGAAGGATATCACTTCTATCCTAAAGGATAGAAGACAGCAAGAAATCTTTATTTCAATGGGTTGCTATCCACCATATCATTATTATTTTTAATTCTCCATTTATCCCCAATTTGTCTAGTTGGTGCTGCTTCAAGCAGGATCCTGTGTTCTTTTGGCGAATCCCCATTAGTCTTTATACCTTTGGCAAACTTTGTGCTTTCTTTACCCTGACCTGGAACCAACAATTTCTCCAATGAGCCCCTGAGTGGGGAATGGTATTTAGAAACTAGGATTTGGCTTCTACTTGTGCTCATTGCTTCCAGTCCTTTCCAGTATGCAAAAACTATTCAGTCAAAGGCAACAGACAGGGTTCTACTGGAGGCTGATATCTTATTGTTAGGTTATCAACCACAGACAGTATGTTAATTCAGGAATAGAAACAATTTCAGGTAACACTTAGAATAACAGCAAGCAATTCCCTAGGAATCATTTACACTGCACAAATTAGTTACTGTTTGCCTGTAACATATATCTAGATCTGCTAAATCTTTTGGTAACAAATGAGCTGAATAATATCTGAGTAAATAGAGAAACACATTCTTATGTGTAGATTTTTAAAAATAAGTCATTGTACTTAACCTATTGCTGGTATTGAAATTCATAAAATAATGTCTAGTGCCATGTAGATCCTTTGTCAGTTTACCTATAACTTCAGTGGTTCCCAAGTGTAATCAGCACACATCTGGGGGTCTTGGAGACACTTTCAGGGAGTCTGAGAGGTGACAACTATTTTCATGATAATTGTATGGTGTTACTTGCTTTTTTCACTGTGTTGGTATTTCCAGAGATGATGAAACAAAGGTATGTAAAACTTATGAGCCCTTTAGCATGGATGAAAGCAGTAGCACCAAATCACGCTGGTGGTTGTGGTACTCTTTTTTATTTTTTAATATTTTGTTTAAACTCAATTTAGTTAACATATAGTGTATTATTAGTTTCAGAGGTAGAATTTAGTGATTCATCAGTTGCATATAACACCCAGGGCTCATCACATCACGTGCCCTCCTTAATGCCCATCACCCAGTTACGCCAACCCTCATTTCTTCCCTAGAGCTAAGAGTCTCTTATGTGGTATTCTTTTTTTTTTTAATTTTATTTTATTATGTTATGTTAGTCACCATCTTATGTGGTATTCTTAATGACCACTCACTTGCAGGGAAAAAAAAAAAAAACAAAGGCAAGTTTTAATTAAGAATTTTCTGGTGAAGCAGCAAAAATTATTACTCTAACTACTGACCTTCTTATATGTGTCTTTTTAATATTTTGTAGGAATTAGTGTGTGGAAATGCCATTACACATAAAGTCCTGCTGACACATGATGGGTATCTCAGAAACAAAGCACACTTGTTACTGTTTGAGTACCAACTGAATGAGCAGGTTTTTTTCATGGAACTCTATTTTTACTTGAAATAAGAGATTGACATAAACTATGGTTTTTCAGACAGGCATTGACATTGTCTGAAAAATGAATGAAGTGAGGCTGTCATTTCAAGGAAAAGAATCAACAGTATATGTCGCCAGGAAGACCTTTTGTCTTTAAAAAAAAAAATTAGTATTTTAGAAAGTTTGTGTCCTTCACTGTGAGCTTATCAGCTTCCTGATACTTTTCAAGGGTTTTCTGGTGAGATGGCTGGTGGTATGAACAAGTACCTCTTTCATTATTATATGATGAGGTATGTCAATGTTTGGAATATTTGCATAACTGTGAATTAATATTTTTCAAATGATTGATGTATAACATAACAAGAGCACACACAGGTAACAACTACTCAAAGTGTGACACCAGTGGACTGTAATGTAACAGAGTATAACAAGATCATGGCTGTGGCTTTAACTTCCCATGGATATTAAAGATGTGCGTCTGTAGAATTTCTACTGAAATGTTGACGGGCCTCAAATGGCCTTCTCCCTAAACTCTCCTTTTCTCTGCTCTGTTTACAGGTTAGCAAGAATTAGCTGACTGTCACAGTCACACTTCATTCCTTGTCAAACCATCTGCCTGAGGACGCCTGGGTGGCTCAGCGGGCTAAGCGTCTGCCTTAGGCTCAGGTCATGATCCCCAGGTCCTGGGATCGAGTCCCGCATCCGGCACCCTGCTCAGTGGGGAGTCTCCTTCTCCGTCTGTCTGCCATTCGCCCTGCTTGTGCTCTCTCTCTCTCTGACGAATAAATGAAATCTTAAAAAACAAAACAAAACAAAACTATCTGCCTCAGCAGAATGACCAGTACTTTGCTAAGTGCCATGAGGGCCCCAAACCCACAGAGTATATCTTGTTTCTCAAATGAGTGTCTACAGAGTCATTCCTGGCATGAAACATAATGCTCAGGCATACCACACACTTCCACGGTTATACCTGGGGCTGGTCTGTGTGACGGCATGTATCGCTCTGCTATTCAGAAAAGCACAGCAGAATGCAAGCAAGAGGGATGAATAAACCTATATCTACCTGACTTTACTTAAAATATAAATTAATGTTCTGCCTTGCTTATTTGTGAAAAACTCGTAACTTCCACCACCCTGCAGTTGAGAACTGCTGTAACAGGCCGTGGTTTCCTTAAGCAGGAGCAGAGCCTTCCCTGTACTTGACTCCGGCACTTGGTACAACACATGGCACTAGGCAGGCACCTGCTGGACGTGAACATTTCTTCTTAACAAGCAAATATTTAATAATCTTCTCTCTAATGATTTAGGCTGTCACATAAGTTTTGTGTAAGTCGATTTGAAATGTAGGGGAAAATGTAGAAAATGTAGGAAAAATGTATATGTATAAGCACAATCAGGTAGCTTCTGGGCTATTCTACAAAATATTTTAGCCAGGGATAATGTGGTTGAGTCATCAGGTGGCTCTAGGGTCATCATGTCTGCCTGAGAATACTCCCCATTATATAAACCCCTTCAAAAAATGGAGGAATGGGAGAACAAATGTCATATGGTTTTTTAAAAGCTTAGACTTATGCCATAGAACTGTCATAAACATTGCTATTATTTTAAATGATTTAATCAATTAATAAATAATAAAATTAGGTGTGCCTTATTTACAAAAAAAAAAAAAGTCTATAATAGGGATGCATTGTGGGGCACCTGGTTGGCATAGTCGTTGAGCGTCTGCCTTCGGCTCAGGTCAGGATCCCGGGGTCCTGGGATCGAGTCCCACATCAGGGTCTCTGCTCACGGGAAGCCTGCTTCTGCCTCTCCCACTCCCCCTGCTTGTGTTCCATCTCTCACTGTCTCTCTCTCTGTCAAAAAATAAAAAATAAGGGGGGCCTGGGTGGCTCAGTCGTTAAGCATCCGTCTTCAGCTCGGGTCATGGTCCCAGGGTCCTGGGATTGAGCCCTGCATTGGGCTCCCCGTTCGGTGGGAAGCCTGCTTCTCCCTCTCCCACTCCCCCTGCTTGTGTTCTCTCTCTCTGTCAAATAAATAAATAAAATCTTTAAAAAAAAATAGGGATGCATTATCATCTCCCTCCCTGGTTAATGATGTAATGAATATGCCTGGCTCCAAATAGGCAATCAGTTAACGGTAGTTTTTATTGTTTTATTAACTATTTCACTGCCTTCCCTATCAAACTTGAAACTAAATCGTTTCTTTTCTTCAGTTACCATTCCCAGGGAAGGATTCTGCTTTTAAAATACATTAGGTGGTTACACTTTTCTTCCCATTGCAGAGGCACAAACTGCTTCCCTTGTAGAATGTTATAAAACCCAGAGTACATCCATTTACTTCCAATATCATGTTTACTACCACTTCTTATACCTTAGGGCCCCCACATGAAGTCCAGGCTCCTTTCTCAATATTCCACTCTGTTTCTACTCTCTTAGATTCTTTGTTGTTGTTGTTGTTTGGGGGGTGATATGTTTATACTTTGCAGAACTAGGGAGCAATTTAAGGGAAAATTAGTATCAGTTAGCAGATGTAGGTAACACAAAAGATTCATCAATTATTTTAATTTTTGTCTTCTTATGCTGGTATTTTAATAAACACAGATTCTATCCAAACACATTAACTACAGAGACCGGATGCCATAGACCAGATACCTCAGCACAAACTTATAATACCCTTAGTACTCATAAGTATCACAAATTCTGTAAGTTGTTCCAGTGTGGAGGTCAAGGGTTACAGAATTCAAAGATTTCACATTCTAAGTCCCCCAAATGGGTTCACAATCTGAAAAGCCCAAAATGTATAATAAGAAGTAGATTGTTTACTCACGAGGATATAACTCAAGGGATCTGTCCACTTTTGTTGTGTTGGTGCTGTTGAGCTGTTGGATAGTGTTCTGCTCCGTTTCATACTTGACAAAGTATCCAAATAAAACAATCATGAAAGCCTCCAGTACAATGGCCATGAGAGGGAATAAGAGCTTCATGTTTGTGGCACAGGACAGAGGCACACTGAAGGCTTCACAAGCTGTGGGAGGTCGATAAGAACAGAAGGACTGCTCTGTGTGTGGAATTAGGCTGCATGTTTAACGCCAGTGACATTGCAAGAAAAAAAATGGGCAAGACTGGTGAAAACACCCACCTCTTGGGGAGAATTATGCTCTGTAATCAAATCATTCAAAATGCTAGTTCGAAGAACATAGGAATCATATAGCATGAAGTCTTTTGCAACTGGTTTCTTTTACTTAGCACGCTTTTTCAAGCTTCATCCATGCTATAGTATATTTCAGTACTTCATTCCTTCCCATGACCAATTAATATTCCATTGTATGGTTATACCATATTTTATCTGTTTGTCCATTGATAAACATTATGATTGTTTCCAACTTTTGGCTATCATGAATAATGCTGCTATGAATAGTCATGTACGAATTTTTGGTGTCGACATGTTTTCATTTCAAACATTGAGAGGTGGAATTTCTAAGTCATATGATAATTCCATGATTAATTGTTTGAGGAAATGCCAGACTGTTTTCCAAAGTGGCTGCACCATTTTTATTTCCATCAGCAGTGTATGAGCATTCTGATTTCTCCACATCCTCAGCAATACCTGCTGTTATCTGACTTTTTGATCTAGCCATTCTAGTGGGTGCAAAGTACTGTGTCATTGTGGTTTTGATTTGCATTTTCCTGATGATGAATGATGTAGATCATCTTTGCACGTGCCTTTTTGACCATTTATAATTCCTACTCCAAGTAATGTCTATTCACATTCTTTGCTCATGAGGTAATTTTTTTTAAAGTGTTGTTGAATTGCTCTGATCCAGGTTCTTGACAAGACTCTGTCACTAACTCATATACCATAAAGTGAATCTCAAACTGTCTCTGTTACCATTTTTTTTTTCATCCTTCATGTAGCAGTGAGGATTCCTATCCATCTCAAGCAGTTGTTTGAAAGACCAGGCAAGAGAGTATATATGAAAGTACTTTATAAATCATAAAGAGATGAGAAATCTAGGCTATTAAAGAGCTATCAAAGTGACACATAGGGGGCAGGGATTTTTCCTTGGAAAAATTTGAAACTTCTGTATCAAAGTACAATAAATTATAAAAATGAAGACACACTATTTAAATAATAAAGTCATCAAAATGGTTATATCCTATCAACATTAGGAATCAGAAAATATTTTTAAATGGTTTATTTTGAATGATTTTATGTTTACAAAAGTTGCAAAGATAACAGAGTTCCTTATTACCTTTCATCCAGTTTCTTTCTAGTGTTAATATCTAACATAATCATAGTACAATGACCAAAACCAGGAAATGAACACTGGTACAATATAGACTAAATTCCAGACATTTACCCTAGTATCCTGCCCTGTTTCTGTCCCAGGGTTCGATCCAGGATTCATATTGCATTAAGTCATCATGCTTTCTTGGTCTCCTGTAACCTGTGACAGTTTCTCAGTCTCTTCTTGTCTTGCACAACCTTGATGGTTTTGAGGAGTACCAGTTAGATGTTCTGTAGAAAGCCCCTCAATTTGGATTTGTCTGGTGTTTGTACATGATTAATCTGGAGTTATGGATTTTAGGGTTAAATACTACAGAGATGAAATGTGCTTCTCCTCCTATTATATCAGAGTTTACATGATATCAATATGTTTCTTTACTGATGATGTTAACCTTGGTTACTTGGTTAAGGTAGAGAAGAGTTTTAATGTTTAAAAATATTCATTCTCCACAGTCTTGCCAAGAAAAGATTATATCCCAAATATATTTTCCTAAACTTACTAATAAAATGAGTGCAGTAGCTGCTATCGCCTTGTACAAAACTAAAATAAGGAACAAAACAGAAAGAGGAGATAGTAGAGGGGGAGGGCAGGGGACAGAAACTTGGATCTGGGTTCCAGGGAGATCCCACCCCAGTAGTTTGCTGGCCGTTGGGCCCAAGAGAGTGCACAGCTCAAATGAAAGGGAAGTCATGTAGAGCAGGCATGGTCTTGAGCAAGCTGTTTTTCAAAGATAAGGTTGGAACCGAAGGTCTTCCTGGAAAATAAAACAGGCCTTTAATTTTTTTTTCCTTCCAGAACTTGGTCTCCTTCCCCACCACATTTTATCAATGTGCGTCAGCTTGCTGAGCTTTAGGCACTAATGCATCTTTAGAGCAAGTATTTGATGCCCTTTTTAACATCTACTGGTACCTGATACTTGCCAGGCTCTCTACACATGCTAATTATAATCCTTAAAAACAGTCCAGCAAGGTAAGTTTGTTTCTTATTATCATTGTACACAAATAGGAAAACCAAGAAACGAAATGACTTCCAAAGTCTTATATCATTTATTTTATTTTATTTTTTTATAAAGATTTTATTTATTTATTTGACAGAGAGAGA